TGAGAAGAATTCTAAGAAGAAAGTAAACCTACAGACATCGGTCTTGTTTAACAAAATCTGCCTACAAGAAAATCTGTCACCAAAGTATACCAACAGACATAACACTATATATCATGGACGAGGTTTCGCCATGCCTAGCAGGTGTCACAGAAGGGGTTGGGAGCTCTATAGAGGGTGAGAAACTATGTCTAGCGGCAGAAAGCGAAGACCCCCAGGCCAATATGACGAAAGCTTAGAAATACAGTGTCTCTTCGAACAGTTTGAGTTTCAAGATATTTAATTGCATAATTAGTATATTTGCAGTATTGCTATTATATCCAATGCGTCGAAACGAAAAAAAAAACGGCATACCGTACATGGCAACTATGACTATTTAAAATGCACTTGTGTAGCTTAGTTATGACATTAAGAACCCTTGTGGAAAAAACTGTATACAATTTTATTATTTGAATAATAAATAGTATACACTTATCGCAAATGAATTGCGTTTCTAGAGCACCCGAAGCATTTTATACTAGAAATATGCATAGAATTACATATACACTAAGTTTACTAATAGGGATAGTATAATGTTTATGTATTTGAAGATTAATAGTTAACTGTTAGTATAAATGTAGTACAGTATAAATAGGTGAATAATATAATAGTTTTCGAAATACATATATATTATACCAGTATTGTTTTTAACCATTTTAATATAATCAATGAGCTAACAACATTCTAATAACTATATTTCTAGCAAATACGTTATGTACGAGAACGATTTTGTATTATTGAAACTGATATTCCTTGTTAAAGCGCTATCTCTATTTTTCATATATATGTGTATCATTGTTAGCTAGCAATTTGTATTCAACTTTTAAATTAAATGTTATTTTCATAATCTTAGAAACTGATTTGTTTTTAAACTTAACATTCTGTTTCTATTCCATATGTTATATTCCTGTCTACGTCAGGCTTGTGCGTACCCCAAGCAGGTGTAAAGATACGACCCCTTTATGATCTGAATGAGGCTTACCTCTACTTGGTGCTCTATGCATCAAATGTGAGGCAATCACTTCTGTCTTTGTATACATATATAATTCAAGAGCAACAAGGAACCTATTGGTCCATCTAGACTGTCCCACCCACTAAACTAAACTTTAAAATAAAATATTCAAAGTGTCGTTATCATTCAAATATTTATCAATTCTTCCCTTAAACTAAACTCAATTAAATTAACTGCATCCGCTACATCTGAAGGTAATCCATCCCAAAGGCTAATCACCTCATTAGAAAAAAATACAGACTTCTTAGCTGAGGATGATTCCTACCCTGCCAATATTCATATTTGTGACACCTAATCCTACCATTCTCACTATTAAGTACGAATAAAATGGTGATGCATTAACACAATAAATTCCATTAACAATCTTAAACAACACAATGAAATCCCCCTAACTCTTCAATTATTCTAGAGAAAACAATTTCACAGATTTTAACTTTCTTCAGCACACCTGGGGTCCATATGGATCCAACGACTTTCTAGATTGTATGCTTTTTTTATACAATCATTACAAATTTATATCAGTTCATGTAATTGTCAAGCAGAAACCCTGAACCAATATGACATTATTGTTTTCGAAACAGGCAGAGAGAGTACGTAGCTACAATCTGATATTTATTTGAGGTCCACACGAACCCCATACTATCATTGACCCCACTATATATGCAGTTCGTCCTATAGCACAAAAAACAAATATCTAAACGGTTATTTCACTATATAGGCTATTATAGAGGATAATCCATCAGAGTAGTACAGTATCATCTCGTCTGTTTGCTTATAACATCATTGTGGTAAGTATGTGTGTGCATCTCATTCCTCAATAAGTGTTCTCTATGATGGCTGCTTATAACGACCTATTTTATAGAAAATGTGTTTGATAATTGTTCTAAATAACCTACTTATTGGATTTTAAGTCCTCAGCATACTATAAGGACATATTTGTGTTGGTGGCCTACAACATACACTTTCAGTTTTCTTTGAGTTGAATTTTGTAGTATTGTGGTAATCTCGTGATCTATTAGTAAATAATGACTTGAATATAGGTGTATAATTAAACTTCGGCATTTTTGATACACTGTTTGTATACGGAATGGTTTAATACTACTTCTTATTTGTATACTGAAGAACAATGTATTTTTGTAATTTCTTTATTTGTGAACATATTTCCTCTAGAAAACATATATTTATATGATATTCACATTGCATGCTAACCCTAATAAATGTTTTAATGCAATTGTCTTTTGAAATTTCAATCCAGAGCTTACTATAATGGTATTTTCGTGCTGGGGTCCAGTTCGACCCCAGGTGTTCCAATGTGTAACCTTTCAAAGGTGTGCTGATGAGGGTGAACCTGTCATTGTATGACAATCCTTCCATCCCAGGTATCACCCTAGTAGTCCTTTTCGGAACCCTTTCCAACAGTTCATTCCCCTAACTTTCTGCCTTTATCTTCTTTCTTATTTGCCTACCATCAAACAGGCGAAAAGTTACGAACCCCTTTACGACCTGAATGAACACGAAATGACTGTTCTTCATAAATAGATCAATAGCCAATATTGTGGGCAAGCGGATGACAATCACGGTAGGAGACTTCGACCCGTCACATGCCAACCCTCCAAAAGCAATGCCAGTCTCCACACTGTATTTCTAAGGAACGTCCACATATCATTTACACCAGAAGAAATCCACCAAGCCCTCAAAACTACAAACAATTCAAAGATCCACGTAGTACACCGAATTACATCAAAGAAAACAGGTTCACCCTCTCATTTCATGAAAGTTGTCACAACATCCAAAATAACTAGAGACTTTATCCTCACCCACGGCTGCTCTCTAGAATTCTACCACTTCAAAGCAGAGAAACTATACCGGAAGCTTCACTCACCCCTACCTTTACCAGTTCACTCCCCAAGCCCACGTATCACAACATCTGAACGAAAACCACCGCCAACCAGTACTCTACCACCCATCCTATCACACTTGACCAAGCAACTCAAACCTCGCCCACATCTGAAACACAAGACAAGTCGACTCAAACCACCACTACAACAAGAAGGAAGAAAGGTACCCAGACTTCGCTGCCAGTCATACCAATAACCAGTGACACAAGTCAACAAACCAACAACCCGCCCCTCAGCCCAGTCCCACTTTCTGCATCCTCGTCGTCAAACTCACCTAATGCTTTCGTAATCGACACTTCCCCCAACGAACCTTTCCGCACCCTTCGCCCACTTACCAGCGACACAGAAGACTTCACGCTGCCACAACGACACCAGAACTTGAACCTATATCCCAGCAAAACCCTGATAAACATCAGAAGAATCCGTAAATCATTTAAACTATAATCTACCCCCATCACCGGACTTCACTTTGCCCTTCCAACTTACTTCTTCTCGTAAACGGGGACTGGTAACGGATTGGTCGTTACCAGTGAAAGTGGGTTTTCTTGGGATACTCCCGTTTCCCCCCACATCAAAATATTATTGGCATAGGATTTATAGATCCCCGCCGCACTGATGGACCATCTGTCCTATATAGGCCGTTTACGTTTTTAATTACGCATATTTAAGTTTACATAACTTGTTTGTATTAATTTCTTGTTACTTCAATTCAAGCCCATACCTCTAGTCCACGCGCGGGGTGAAGGAGGATTGCTTAGTCTTCAAGCACCCCTGATTATTAATCATTTCTTCCGAAATATTTAATTTCAAATCAAAATAACTGCCATAAATGATATATTGTCGGCAAGCGCAAGTGGCGTCCAGAAATTCTCTTCGCCCTTCAATTTCTGTAGTTTAAATATTTTTTATCATTTTATATATCGGTTCTCTGGTACGTTTCTATCACTCGGAAAATTAATATAAACGCTTTAATATAATAAGGTAGCAGGAACCAATACAAGTTATCACTGAAACATTATATCACCTTGAATATAATATATATTAGCATATTTGTTTTTTTTATGTGGTATTTATTACTAGAGGGCAGGACGATATTTCTAGGACGCCACTCGAGTGCAAATACACGTTGAAACTTTAAAGCCTGGGTGGAGAAATTCGTTCTACAATCTACAGCGTATAACAACTATTGTAGCAGCATTACACTTACAGCAAACGTTCGGTCTAAATGTGGTAATGTATTTGTTTGTTGCAGTATATTTGTGTCGCTGTAGTAGTATATTATATATACCTATTCAAGCATATCTCTTTAAAAATAGTATTCCGTGTACATCTTTTATGTTAACATTCTTGGGTGAATTCCGCAAGACATGAGGAGAAAGACTTGGATAAATAATAATTAATATTAAAGAATAAAATGACACGTCTAAATGAAAACCTTTTCCAGTTAATTTTCTGCGACGTTTCGAGCAGATTCCCTTCGCCAGGCATTAAAGACTATATTACAAAGGAAGTACGCGAGAAATTTGAAAAAAAGTTTTCACTTAGACTTGCCAATTTAATCTTTATTATCATTTATCCAACTATGTTAACATTGTTAAGTACAGTTTATAAGGTGCGGTTGTTCCTTGTTCTACGTCAGTAGTAAAATTTTGTACAGGTCATAGGCATAATAAATATTTCGTATGGTAACCGTACAATTACACACCTAAAAAAATGAGGATGTAGGATATTTGGACACTTAATAATTTTAGAGGGGTGTTAAAACTTGTAAAACTTCGCAACGTACTTAAAATACATATAAATATAATGGAGTAAATTAGGGTAGTAATGTAGTACGCCTATATCTATACAGTTCACATAACTGAGTAAAGGACAGGTTTTAAATTCACGTGGTCAGTTTTCTAACTATTTGCATTTATGATAGCATGAAAACTAAACCATTTCCTATTTAAAGACGTCATTTATGATCAGATAACTGTTATCCCCGCTGGGCCCAATGATAGCCAATAGTTTTATATGATATCACATTAAGAGGTAAATTAAAATGTTGATGAATTGGGCCTAGATATGTACAGGTCTTTTATATGCTTATGCTTATATAGTGTTGTACACGGAACATATCTGTTGTAATTATTGTTTTATTTTATAATAAGTTGTGTCTAAATGTCCTACTTTGTCATTTTTTTTTTTAGGTGTCTGGTTGTCCTGGATTCATTTCGTATATGATTGGAAATGGAAGAGACGAACAGACGTTTTCAAGTTAACAAGTTATTCGAAAATATGAATTAGAATTTCGCAGAGGTGTCTGAAAACGTTATTAACTGCATATAAGAAATATTGAAATTGAGAAATAAATTAACAGCAAAGTTGATTTAATAATAATAATAGTAAATTAGTATATAGTTTGAGATAGGGCGATCATTATATATATATATATATCTTTATTCTGTTGAACGCAGTCTAGTTTCATTATTTACCAGTTAAAAAAAGAAAATGAACTCCTCTGAAAAGAAAATTATAAAGAAAAAGACAAAAACGGAAGAAACACATCGGCAGAATAACCGATATTCTATGACTCTAAGAAGTTGTTGCCAGGATGGATGTTGTGCCGGATCAGTAATGGAGTTTGGAGGATTAACCTTTACTAAACAGGACTTGTAAGTTGTTAATACCACTTATTATTAGATGTTTATATCATCGTAGTCAAGCACAAATTACACTGGTTAAGGAAAATAAACAACTCTGATGATCACGTATATGACAGTAAAATGAAACGGAATTCAGAAATTTTAAAATATCAAACGTGTATCTTGTATCATAACATCTCACCCTTTTTTTCTGTAATACAATATTCAATGTCCTCGCAAGTCCAGATGAAAACCTCTCGTATAATGAAGAACATTTAAAGAAATTCAGCTTATTTTATGGTTGTTTATATATATACCATACTGTGGGTGTAAAATGAACTTCGTTTTATAATATTTGGGCTCGCGGGTTCGAATCCCCGTCCCACTAAACATACTTGCCCTTTCAGCCGTGGGGGACGTTATAATGTGGCGGTCAATCCCACTATTCGTTAGTAAAAGAGGGTGGAGATGACTAGCTGCCTTCCCTATCTTTCACTGCTAAATTAGGGACGGCTAGCGCAGACAGCCCTTGTGTAGCTTTGCGCGAATTTCAAACCAAGTCATACTATTTTATTCTCATTTAGTTAGATGGAAAAAGCTTGTTAAACAAGTTAGAAATAAAGCCAAATTGTATTGATATAGTGTCTGGTTATAACTATTCTGGAATAATATAACGAGTAAATGAGTATTTGTTTATGGTAATACTTTTGGCTGTAATTGCATGCTCTGTTGGGTGAGTAGTAAGTGACATTAGAGAATTTGGAATCTGATTATCGAAAACATATTGTTTAATATCGCAAAATTCGCTAAATAATGATCATATGTTTTATTATTAATTATTTTATTTTATTGCATTACTGGTGTTATTTTCAGAACGATCTGTTGGTAGGCACCAAACGTAAAAAACCCGAAATTACTAAAAATATTTAGTTTAACTACGATGTAACATCATAATGCGTGCAATTGTTTGTGAAATGTAAGGGGGGCAAATGCCCACTCTTGCCCCTTTCTGCGAGCGCCCATGATTGTAGTAGCGTAGTTATTTCTTTATTTTATATTACCCGGTGAAAATAATTCAATATGTAGTCCACGTGACGAGAACGAATTAATTTATTTTCTCCTTTAACGTTTCTACAAGCTTGAACAATTGAACAACGCCGTAAGTTGTTGTAGGCCTATACGCTAAAAATGATGTCCTAACCTTCTATAACAATACTACGACTAACAGAAAATCAGCTTACCTGTACAACGTAACTCAATAAGCGCGATAACTAACACAGATTCAAATACTTCACTAAAAAAACGCTGACTTATTTACTCTTTATCTTGAAAAATAAATATCTTCTTCAACAACTTTTCATACTATCTCGTATATATAACCTAAGCCTTGTTCGAGATATTTTGCCAGGTCTGAATAATTACATCATCAACGACCCGCATCTCCATTTAGCTAACAAATAAATTACAATGTTCTGTATCTGCTTGTTTCTTTGTTTGCGGTAGAAATTCTTTCCGAGGATCTTAAGCGATACAAGTATTTTCTTTATTAAACCAGTTTATTCTTCCTCGATACAAACTTTTAGTACACAGAAGTTCCACAGTCAGTACGTTTCTCGTCACTTTAAACTTAACAACTTTTATAATACGCACTGTAAATCACATCGACTCACAATCTCGATAACTTTGCTCTCGACGAGTGCAAAACACACACTTTACGGCTCACTAGCTCGAAACTAATAGAATCATAAATTACACGGAACTCATAGTAATTACTGCTATCTCTTCATTTTACCTGCTGGCTTTCTCTGACAGGCTTATATACTAACGAAGAGGGCATCTCGAACACACTCGAACTTCCCTGATCATTCGAGAAACTCATCACTCACGCTACCAGCGCCAACAGCGTCACGTGTCGTAACAACAACATTAAAAATATAGCTTACAAGTTAAAACAGTATTTTACTCGCTTACATTACAATGACCTTTTTTGGTTATCAAGTATTTTTAAGTAACTTGCGTCTTGAGTATTATGACATGACCTATTGCCAATTTTAAAACAACTTAAACTTAATTCGTAGTTTTATCTTACGTTTCACCTGTGTCGTTTCACATATTACAATGATTAAGATTAAGTTATCGTTGCCAGATTTTAATGATAACAATCTAGGACACTTACCCATTTAAGTGGTCTGGGGGTGTCATAAGCTAAGGTGACCATATTTTGTAAACCAAAATCTAGGACACTTGTATAAAAATGTGCTTCTGTAGTCCACATAATTCCAGATACAGGCAATGGTCAAGCCAGTGTGGTCACATGATGATGTTATACCTAAGCTAATAGTAAGTGGATGAATGTTTATTTTTGCTAAGTATTGATAATAAATGGACTAAATATTTGTTTGTTTTTTCATAAGTACAAAGTTACACAATGGGCTGTTTGTGCTGTGCCCACCGTCTGTATCGAAACCCGAAAGCCCTCAAATTTACAACTGAGCCACCGCGAGACTAGAAGACCTGAAATGTAAGGGTATTTCGGGACGATTTTTGTTTTTAAAACTGAGACAACATTTCTCACTCGGAAATGTATGGTCACTCTAACAAAACTCTTCCAGCAGATTCTATGACAGAGCATGTACTGAAGCATAATATTGTGTACAAAACTATACAGTTCGATAATATTACGAAATGTTATCTATTTTGATTTTAAAAAATCGAACTCTTCAAAATTGTTAATTATTGATAAATTGATTTTAGTTTCAGCGCAAAGCTACTCAATGGGCTATTCACCTGTTTTGTGTCCATCGCAAGGAATTAAACCCCGGATTTTAGCGTTGTAAGTCCTGAAACTTATTGTTGACCCACCAGTGGACTTGATAAATTGATTCGGAGATGGTCACGCACAGAAATTGAAACTGAGTGTTTTTATTATTGTACTATCATAATAGATTTTGCATTAAATACTGAGTTTGGAAACTTGTAACTCTAAAACCCGGTTTTGATACCCGTGGTGGGCATAGCCTATTATGTTACTTTGCGCCAATAACCAACCAACCAAACGGCTGTATAACACATTGAGATTGGCCTAGTTATTTTTGTTAAATAAAACATTTAAGTTCTGAACAAATTAAAAACATATTAATGGTACTGTAACTTTTCATCGCACTAAAA